AAACTCAGGAAGACAACCTAGATTCGGCCAGACCTGTTATTATATTATTAATGTGACTGGAAAAGACAAGAGTGCCCTTATTTAAGTAAGAGGCACTCGAACTAACATAATAGTACACGTCAGCACTCTCAACAGATGTACAAAGACTAAAATACCCCTTCACTAACAAGACAGATACCTTGCTTTCCAAGATAGCTTTTTGTTAACCCTCTCCACAACTGGATCCCAAATACTCTTAAAGATACATTTTACCCCTAAAGGCAAGCCCAACTATTTTAACAGAAAAGAAACAATTTTACACCCCAAAAGATCTGCCAACTCAGTCAAATTTTCCACTTTCCTTACAGCCACCATCTGGCTGTTTGCCAGGTTAGTCTTCAGCTCAATACCACCTTAAACCAACAAAACAGGTACCTCAAAGTCAACACTTGCTCTGCATTCGCATCACAAAAAATAGGGTGTCATCTACAATTTGAAGGGAATTCCTTCCCCACTACTTCCAACATCAAAGCCTTTGAGGCAACCACCATCTACAGCGCAGTCATCTTACTTAATCCCTCCATCACTATCAAAGATAACGAGGGTGACAAAGGATCACCTTGTCTGATGTCAGTTATTGGTTTCGTTTGAAAAAGCAACATTTTTGGGGACACAAATGTGTTTTCCAGCAAAGCTAGAATCCTTTCTTTGGAGTTGGCAGCTGAAAGGTCTCAGCAGAAAGGGAAAGGGTGGGGTGTACCCTACCAGAGCTTCTTGCTATTGTAGGGAGTTTTCTTCTTTTATTCTTAATATAATACTTTACCATTTTCTCAAAAAAGTTAAAATCAACTATATAGATAATGCTCAAATCAAATGGTTAAAACCAGTGTTTAGAAAACCAGACTGGACTGGACGGTTGAACTGTGACCCGGGGCCCTAACCAGTTTGGTCATACCCCGATAACCGGACTTGCTCAAAACCCATTGAAAACCGGCTAACCGGCCGGTTGAACCAGAAAACCGGTGAACTAGTCCCGGTTTCATGAAACCGCTCGGGTCCATACAAAAGTGATTTTTTTTTTTTGATAGATAAAGATTTTAAATCTCAAATAATATGCCCATACATAAGTGAAATTTTAAAATGTTAACAAGAATTTGAACTCAAGACCTCTTATTTTCACAGATTACTTAATTACCACTAATCACCTCTTTACTTATGCTAATTAATGATTATTTATTATACATATTACATTATTATGCATGCATTTTAAAGAAAATGTAAGTTAAAAGGCTTGAAACCTAGTTATTTGTTTTAAAAATTAAGAAACTTGTCATCCATCCACCATATTTAAGTACATTAAAAGTTGTAAAATATATTATATATAGTATTTATATGACCCCCGTAGTATATATATATATATGCCACATCATCACGGTCGACCCCAGTCGAACCTCTGACCCGTGAACCTCTCCCTTCTCCGGTTCTATGCCCAGTCCGGTTCTCTGAACATTGGTTAAAACTTAAAAATGAGCTGATTAGACTTGTTTTGGCATGATCATTATTTTAGTTGGGAACCCATTCAACAGTAGCTCCCAATTCTTGATACAAGACAGGTGACAGATATAGGGAGCTCAAGAGTCAAGACCTGTATATGTGTCTTCCCCTGGACCAAAGACATTCCATAAGTTTCATTCACAGAATCCGAAAACATTCAAACATCAGAAAACAAAATGTTTTCATTTCTACGAAAACTAACCAAACCATTTTTACATCTTTCTTTATTGCTATAATTGCATATGTTGGGGTGCTTGATGCAAAACAAAAACCTGATCCTATATGTATATGTATGCATGTATCTATGAGAGAGATGACAACGGTGGCTCTTATCACAAGTCAATAAAACCACATACTAGGTGTGAAATGGTGCAACCATAGTAATCAAGATGATGCCTAGGTGACCAGGCATCATATGGGGGCTTGCCTACAGACCACCTTTTCGGCATGCACATTGGGCATAGGCTCCTTATTAGATATTTTGGTTATGTTTCCATACAGTGATATGCATGGAATCAAAAAATATATGTATTACAAGTCTTTATTGTACTTTTATTCAAGTTTACAATGCAAGTGGAATACCTAATGATGCTTGATTGATAATCTGCTTAATCCCTTCTAAATTGTTTTTGGATATGCCTTTGCTGCAATGTTTAAATTCTTAGAATTCATGCGCTATCCATTGCTTATTTGCTTGGATTCTTTCTGCAACACTTGTTTTCTTGGATTCAATGCATTGCTTATTTGCCTTTTTTATTCCATTTCATTACTATAACACTCATTTTCTTCAATTTATTGACTTTCTGCCTTGCTTTTCTGCCTAGATATAATAAAAATAAATTTGGTATTAATGTACTGTTTGCATATTGCATTGTTTTTCCACTTACATTTGTGCTATTATGGTTCATGATCTTTTGCATGCCTTATTGCTTTGTGTGTACAAGTGATTTTATTCTTTAGAACATTGTGATTTATTACTAGGAATGATATTGGCTTATGAAATAATAATGTGTCTTGATTTCAGTATTATTTTTAATATAAAATGGCAAGAGAATGAATATATGTTGTATACCTATAATAATTCTATAAACCAGAGTAAAACCACCACCTAAACCACACCTAGGCAATGCCTAGGTGTGCAACTAAGCATTTAAGCGACAAGGCAGTACCTTGTCTATTAACCCTGCCTCATACCTTGATAACTAGGGGTGCAACAATACATTCAAGTTGTGAAAAAACCCTAGTTCATTCTAGGTTAAAGCAGAGAAGGAAGAAGAAAGAAAAGAGAAAGAAGGAGAAGAATATTCGGCAGACTAGAAGAGAGAAAAGTGAAAATCACTCTCCCCTAGCCAACCCACTTGACTTTTATTCATAAAACTTAAGTCACAAGAAAGACAATGTTGTCCCTCATAGAAGATGGGACACATAACTTAAACTCAGATACAATAGACATTTCACTTTCAATAAGATACAACAGAATGACCAAAATACCCCTAACTTGGCTTCCAAATCTTTAGAGGACGATGGGGAGGAAATTGACGAGACTTGAGAAGGAAGTGACCAAGAAAACAAAGCAATTCTTGATGAAGTTTACCACAATGGAAGAACAATTGATCTGGAGAAGGTAGTAAATACAGAAATGGAGCTTAGTAAGATGTAGGGTTTATTTTTCTTGGGAGGAGACGATTTTACAAGGAAGGCTTTTAGAGAATTAGAAAAGGGTTGGAAAAAGAGTAAGGCAGCTTTGGAAGAGGTAGAGGTTATTGTTAGGGTTGAAGATAATATTGATAGAAGGAAGTCAGTGGGAGAGGCAGGGGATGGACTCCGATGGAGACAAAAGGAGGGTGAGGTAATTGCAGTCCAGACTTTAGAGAATAATGCAGTGTTGGATCTAGAGAGGATCAAGGCGATCAACAACTCCAAGGATCCAAAAGACCCAAAAAAAAAACACTCTAATGCAGTAAGATGCGTCAAAAATCAGAGAGATGTCTAAATTGTTCTGGTCTCAAAAGTGAAGAAAACTATGAAAGCTCCAAAGAGAAATAAAGAGGTTCTTCTTCAAGCCACTGGAGGAGCAGCAAGTTACAGTGAAATGATGGTGAATGTGTTGAGGACTGTAGTGTTTTGGTGTCTGTGTTTTCTTCTTTGGAAGTTCATGGGGGTTATAGCGTTCTAGATTCGGGTCGATACAGTGGCCTGTTATTGAGAGTATGCAGTTGACAGTGGTAGATGAAGGGTATGGCTGAGGATTTGAGTGTGTTGGAGGTTGCTTTGATGTTTTTCCTCTATTGGGTGACTTCTGGTCACCTTTCGTTTACCTTCTTTCTTCTTTTAATAAGTTTTTATTTTATCTTCAAAAAATAAAAAAAAAAGGCATCACATAAACTGATGAGCCAAGATCTTATAACAGAATACTCACCAATGGGCATAAATTATGTTACCATATATGATAGCATTCAAGGTTGTATGCCTCTCTTTGGCTTCCTTGAACCATTTATCTGCAGCTCTTCCAATAGAAAATAAACAAGTATTAGGGAAACATACAAAATCACATACCTATGATTGTTTTATCATCAATAACAAAGCATATACCCAGGCTTTCATCCAACCAATTCCACTGCCTAAAGATTGTGATGATATAAAAAGATAGGCTGCTCCTAAAATAATGTGTTTACAAGAAAGATAATAATAGAGATTCCATGACTATAAGTAATTTTAACATGGGAGTGGGGACTTTCATGTCCAATGAACAGCTCAAAGGATAATAAGCAACTGCAAGTGAATGCATGTAATTAATAAGTGCAAGAAAATAAAAAGAAACACCATAATCCTACAAGAATGATACTTTGGTTATATGTGGCAAACCCAATTTTTCTAGTTGAACTGACAAAAGTAGATATTTTGGCTATATATAGATAGGGCACATCAACACATAGATGCAGTATCATCACCAACAATTTCTAAATTATTAAAACATCTTCCAATACCCAAAATCTAAAGACAAAAATATGCCTAGGTACTAATACATGTCTGCTGAAGACTTCATTCAAGTTAACAAGGAACTACACTCCAAGTTAATTAACTCCTGTAGAGAAGATGGGCCGAATGGCCCATAGGCTGTTTATCCTTTYTTATYYTTTATGTTCTTTDCTKTAATGGGCCTTATTCTGGGCCTATTCTTTCTATGTTATGTTCTTTTAATTTCTTGCCCAACTAAGGGCCTCTTTGTAAATTATCAAAGTTTAACTTAATAAAATAGTGGTAGGGGTGTAAGAGTGGAGATTAAGGTTCGAAACTCTCTTACTCTGAACCCTTATTGCCGCCATCTTCTTCTTTATCTTCTCTTCCTTAGAAGAATGATTTCTGTAAATTTATTTTGATTTCTGCATCTGTTCTAAACAGTCCTTTATTCTCAAAATACTGTTTTTCTTCTACTCCAAAAAAATAACTTGGTTTTTGGATGGTGATAATAGCTGTAAGTTATTAGTTCCATTTCAAAACTACTCTCAACTCTTGTTTATAATGTTTATATAATTACTGAACTTCATGGAAAAAAGCAATTGTATGAAAAAAGGGTTCTAATGTCTATATTATCTATCATCTAAGATTCATATGGTGCATGTGTGCAAGGAAGATATTTTCAAAGTGTACTCGTAGCTTTAATAACAACTACTAAAATATCCAATATTTTACTCAACCTCATCTCCCAATCTAAAAAGAGTTTTAAATAAAAAGATGGCAACCAAAACAATAAGGTAATTCTAGTTAGCCCCACAAAAACAACTTAGTTTTTTGAATAATGATAGTATCTATATGTTATTGCAGTCAGTCTGATAATGGTCGAGTGACACTGCTTCTTCAGTTCAAACCAAGAAATCCCTTCGATATGATCCAAAATGGATCTTGTTATATCATTGATTAGAGATTTCTACATGAAGAATACGAATCGGAATTTGAAGGGAAAGGTAGCTCTTAACCCACAACAAATAGAGGAGGATTTATTCAATCACATAATTTGGGCTCCTAAAATATGGCACCCATGTGGCAGTCTATTTGATTGTATCAAAAGACCCAATGAATTGGGATTTCCCTAATGGGCTAGGTCATTTTTGGGAAAATGAATCATTTACCATAAAGAAGATGAGCTTCAAGAGAATAATACAGAGTTCTAGCAAAGTTGAACCATGCAGTACTAGGCACGAGATAGATCTTCCAAAGAATAAGGCTTTTTTCGAATAAACGGATTCATTTGGAACCCTGGAAATAGGGTTGGAAATTTTGACCCCAACCCATTTGACCTACTCATTTAAATAGTGGACCAATATGTGTCAATTGACCCACTAGGGTCAAGGGAAAAGGGTCAGGGTGGGTTGGGTCATGGGTACCCATTGGGTCAAGATGGGTAAAGCTCACCACTCATAACTTCTTCATCGGTCACCACCAATAGTGCTTTGCCGCCACTTTTCTCTTCTTCCTCTCCACTAGAAAAGCAACCTTTGTTTTCTTCTAGTTTGAGCATTTCATCTTCTTCACTAGTGACCACTAACAACGCTTTGCCACTCCTTTTCTTCCTCTCCACGGAAAAAACGATCTTTGTTCTCTTTTTGTACTCCTTCAGTACAAAGAAGATTGACCCCCCCAACCCTCGACATATCACCGAGATTGATCTGACTATGGTGTGGGTTGACCTGACCAATGGGCCTCTTCCCTCTTTTTATTCTTCTCATCATCGGTAGCTCAAGCAACAAAATAGGGTTCAAGGATGTTTTGGTATAGAGAAGATAGAACCCCCCAAAATTGCCAGGGTTGATCTCATCTTCTATTAGTGCTAGTTGACAGAGGATGTCAATGCTACTTGATAGAGGATGCCCAATTACTCTAGAATTTTGAAATTTTTATTTATGGTTAATGTCTCATGCTAGTTGACAGAGGATGGTCGATGCCACTCGATAAAGGAGGTCGACTTCTGCTACTCGTCAAAATACTCTAGTACCAACAATTTTATTTTTGCAATTTTGAATTTTTTATCAAATTTTCTTTATTTGTAATTTATGTTTTTGTTGAAATTGATACTTGAAATATATATTTTTTTGAATTTTTTATCATTCTCTACAATTTCTACTTTTTCGGTCATATATATTAAATTTTTCTCATTTTCTTTTTCTTTTTTTTGTAATTTTTTCTTTTTTTTTTGCTGAAATATATAACTTTTTGAAAATTTTATCATCTTTTGCATTTTCTACAATTATTGTTTTTTAGTTGAAACATATACTTTTGAATTTTTTATATTTTTATGTGTTTTTTGCAAATTTTTCTTTTTTAGTTGATATATAAAGCTATATATATATGATTTTTTATCATTTTATGTATTTTTTCTACAATTTCTATTTTTGGCTAAAAACATATTTTTTGAATTTTTTATCAATTTAAGTAATTTTTGCAATTTTCATATATACGGGTGACCCGACCCATATCTACCATGTTGAAGTCATGAAAAAGGACAAATGGTTCTCTTAGATTTGATTTTTGGATATACGGGTTGACCCTTGACCCAACCTAGTTGTGGCATTTGATTGAAAAAATGTAAAAAAATAAAAATAAAACAAAGGAAACAATCATTTATATTTGGTGAGGGTCAATACAGGTGGGCAAGGGTCAAGGTGGGTTGTGACCCACTAACAAGCATTTATAGTGGGTCATAGTGGGTTAGTGGGTCAATATGGATGGGTTGGTACACACCCAACACACCCATTTGCCACCCCTACATGTAGATCATTTCTTTTTTTTTTTTCTATTCAAAGATCAGCCCTCTGTCTCTGTGTTTTCACGTCGAGAATTCTTTGCAGATGAAGAGATGTCAAAGGGGCTTCTTACTTCCCAAACAAATCCTCCTACATCTATATATAAACATTGGTTCATCAAGAATATGCAAGAAAAGCACTTCAAATTGTTGATCTATCGCCAAAGATGACTTAGAACCAATAATCTATTATCTAATGGATCTTTCCATTCTAATACTCTCTCTGAGAATTATCAATATTTATCAAATCTCTTCCTATCTAACAGAAAACTATTGGTTCAAATGACAAAAAGAAACATTGTTGAAACCATAGTGTTATCCTACCTTGTGTGTTTTAGACCTAAAGCAGCTAACTTTTCAGTTTTTAAATTTGACTAACAGGGGATGCTAGGGTTGTGGAGGTTGAGTGCCCCTGGAGGAATTACATCCCCAAAGAAACTGATATGACCCAGAAATTTGACACGCAGTTCACAGACATACAGCAGCGTTCACACACTCGAACATCAACAAAAGAAACTAGTATTCATTCAGCAGAAAACATTAACAGTTGGTCGGTTCTTCGAGAGACCGCTGGCTCTCCCAAACACTCACAATATTCTTTACTCAAAGAAAACATACCACCCCCATCCCCCAAAGCCCCTTCTTATACTCTACTGATAGCATAACTGACTCCCTCTATAAATGCCCAGCTGGCCTAGTTATAAATGCCCAAAAACTCTTCTTATTCATAACTGACATAGCTATAAATGCCCCAAGACTCTCCTTATTCCCTCCAGCTATAATTGCCCTCATGTGATTAATTGTTCAATTATTTCCCCCCCTTAGCTGATTGTTGACCTTTCCTCTTCCTGGCATTAATTGGGGCCTATCAGAAACATGAAATAATACCTCATGTATTTGCACAAATTGATGGAACTGTGAAGTACCAAGCAATAATTTTAAGCCACCATGTGGGCTGCATGCTGCATTTAACATAATCAAGATATCTCTAATAAGTAGTCATCATGCTTCCAATATTACCTATTTGGGTCGGCCATAAGCTAGAGTTTTCACTTTTTACCACAATGAGGACTGGATGGCTTTTACTTGGACTTGTTTTTTTAGAGTAAAAATAAACTTTATTAAAAGAAAAAAGAAAAAGGATCTACAAGCAGAGCAGCCACCAAAAATAAAAGGCCCATTTCCCACAATAGACATGTTAAACAGAACCATCCCAAAGCCCAACATACCCAAAACACAAACCTCCTAAAGCCGAACCAAAATGACCCACTTAGAAACACCAAAATCTTGGCCGACCATTGCCATAACCATACCCAAAAGAACCACACCTGTAACCCTAGAATAACCCACATCAACAAACAACAATCTTGGAACAACTTGCATTGAATCTCAAACAAGCCTCTGCTACAATACATAGCTTTGATATGGATTTGCCTCCTCTTCCACCCCTTCCTCATCCCTCTGTGTTTTTCAGGCCTCTTCCTTTTTTAACCAAGCAATCAATGTAGAAATCTATCATATGCTTTACCCTCTTACATCTAGGAATGCCTCCAAGTTTGTAACTTGCTCATATCACTATCCATAAACATGCTCTAGAAGATGGATGTAGAAAATCTCATTTTTAGTGTGGTTTGTCAAAATTGAATGAGACACTTGACCATTTAGAGAGTTTCACCTTGTAAGACAACTACATACTCAGTGTTTTTCCAGGAAGTATTCCATTTAGAGGTCAAAATTGTCTCCATCACAATGTTTAAGATACTTCTTGCCAACTTGTGTCATAGTTTGGATTGACCAACAAGGAAATTCTTACATGTTATAGAGTTAGAAGATGGACGGGCCATTTGATAAGCTTAAGTGCAATGCAATGGAAGTGAATGACTTGCTGCTTTGTCTTTAATGGATAAAACAATTAAATAAGTAAATATTCAATGGTGCAGTTGTCAACCTAACTTCACCTTCAGCCATTAAAGAGATTATGAACCTCTTTAAAAGACAAAATAACAAGTCATTCAGTTCAACCATTTCAGCAGTTATCAAACAGCTCTTAAGTTTAGCCCCCATGGTAGGAGACGTTATGATTGAAATTGTTGCAAAGATAAAATTCAATCAAGCATTGGAGGTCATGTTATGACCTCAACAAACAACTCTTTGGGTCAACCATCTAGGTCAAATGGGTCAACCCATGAGGTGGTAGGAGACATTATCAAACAACTCAGTTTGTTATTTCTTGACCTATAGTGTTTATATAATTACTAAACTTTAATTAGAAAATGGATTGTGCAAAAGATGCTCCACTGCTTATGGTTATTTCTACTATATCTAATATATATAATGTTCATACATACAAGGAGGGTATCTTGCCTTCAGAGGTTACTCTTAGATTGAATTGAACTATAAAAAGATTCCGCCTTCCCACTCAACCATGGCTAAATAAAGGAATTCTAATTAAAAGAAGCTACAAATAATACAGTAATTAAAAACAAAGGGCTAGTGCATGCTTTTATAGCTTACTTAGAAATTTGAAGTTTTGATCAAGTTAGCAACTCTTAATATGTGATAAAAACAAAATTGTCAAGGATACACCTAGGCAGGTGCCTAGGTGACAAGGCGCCCTGGAGGCTTTTCTCGCCTAATCACCAAGCAGTTTTGCACATTATGTTATAAAATACTTTTATATTCTAAATTTTTTGAGATTATAATTATATAATAGACATTATTAAACAAAAATATTCATTTTATGTGTTTATATACTAATTTCTTTTTTTTATTTTCTTATTTGTTAGGGTTTAATCACATTGCTAAATGTTGTATTTAACCCTAAAAGACTTCAAAACCTGAACCAATAAGGAAGAACTTAAAATTTTGCCTAATCAGATCATTATCTTGTTCAGTCCCCATATCTTTTGAATTTTCTTTTCTTCTTTTTCTTATGAATATGTTGATTTTCTATACTTTAACATGAACATTATACTTTTCTTATGAAAGTTATGGATAATTATTAAGGAAATATGGTTATGGAACCTAGGGAACTACCCTAGGATATATGTTTTTTACTTGAAAAAAAAATACATTGCCCAGTCGACGCCTAGGCAACTAGGCTACAAGGCACTCCCCTGTTGCCTAGCCTCACCTAGGAGTCTTGAAAATTTTGTAAAAGAAGGGCTAACAACCAAATCCCAATAACATGTACTGATTACTGAACCTTTATACATGACAAAGAAGGGCTAACAACCAAAGAGGCTTATTATGCTAAAACAATATAGGAATAGGACCAGTCAAAATGCACAGCTTCCCTCCAAGTTAATTGGAATTGCTTGTTAAAAAAATGGAGTGGATGACAAAAAAATATCAAGGGGATAAAGGTGCACAACATCCTATATATCATTCCAATATCTACATCAGATCTAACTACAAAATAAATGTCCCTGAGAAAGATAGGAAACTGTATTACACTAACCAACAAATGAAAACTAGAACATTTGAATTGCAAATATACATGTTTTACTTACTCAGCATCACCAATTTTGGCAAATCCCCCCACAATAATACTATACGTCACCAAACTCGCTTCGATGCCCTCTTCCTTCATTTTCCTTAAACAAGATAGTGCTTCATTCATGTCTCTACCAACTGCATAAGCGTGAATAAGGCTGCATGAAATGAACTACCTTTAATCTCAGAAGACAACAAATCCCGATAACTTAATAGGTAAATTACTTGTACCTTCCCTCGGGTTTACCTATTAACTTACTCACCCCTTATATTTTGGAGTTTGAGTTACTTATTCCACCCCTCCATTAACTTGCTGTCATCTTCAGTGGAAAGTGTTCGCATGACATTTAGAATTTTTTAAAATTCTGTATTACCCTGTATGTTATATGGATAACCCTCATTCATATTTCTTAAAAAAGGGGCAAATTAATGTTAAGGTGGGAATGAAAAGTTGAAAATAGGTTCAAGAAAAATAAAATAAATTAAAATTTTGAGATAGTAAACTCTATTTAGTGTTTAAAGATGAGGTTACCTTTATCAACATCAAAATATATTTAGAGACAAAGCTGGTATTTTATTATTAAAGACATTTTGGCAAAATACTTAATTCTGTCTCTTCTGTTAACAAACCCCCTATAGTTTTATGGTCAAGGGGGTAAAAGCTAATAGGTAAACCTAAGGGAAGGTCCTAGTATTTGATCAAAACCCCACAGGAGGTATAAGTAGTTTCCCAAACTTTGTAAAAAAGCACATAAAAGCGCAGCCAACTATTACTTGCACATAAACAAATTAACTATTGCATCACTATTATAAAATACGTAGAGAGAGGAAAAGAAACAAATGCACTTCACTGAAGTTCATTAGAGAATATCAAATGATGAGATGGTTAAACAGCAGTTGCTATACTAAAATCGGAACAAAGTAAATTGAAAAGAATGCAGATAGGTAAGGACTAAGGAGCACATACTTCGTATAGACATGTGAGGTTGGTTCTATTCCCCTTGCTCGCATTCGCTCAAAAGCTTCACGTGCATGATGCATGTCTCCTCGACGTGCATAATAGTTGATCAATAACCCAAACTCTCTTCTAGAAGGCTGATAATCCAAATACAGAAACCTTTATTTATACAGGACTTGTGTTAAAGTTAATATAGATGTTTACAACAGGAGAAATAATCCACATTATTCCATTGAGTACTGAAGACTTAGATGTTGTACATGTACAGAGAACCACTGCAAGCCTATAGTTGGTGCCTAAGGGTTGGGGCCTCAAAAAAACCTAGGCGATAGTTGACTTGTAGGTGAAACTTTAACTACACTTTGGAAAACACCTCAAGGTTCAATCTTGAGGCTTTCACTTAAAAATATAAGGCATATTCCTCAAAATCTGAGACAATGTATATATTTATGTTTCAACAAATTTAAAATTGTTTCAAGATATCTTACATTTAAAGCTTGGTTATGGTTTATTAACAATTTATAAGACTAGTATGAGATTCTCTAAAGATACTTATTTCGTATAACCCTTATTTATGTGATCATTTATTCACCTATTTGTTCTTCATGATTCACATATAGAAAGTCAATCATATTGTGCATATTTCCATACTTTTCCTTATTTTAGTTTCAAATTGTTCTTAATGAAACTCATGAGATGAGGCTTATGCCTCACACATCCAAGAGCCTTGGTGCTTGGTGTAACACCTCTACATTTTTTTTTTTTTGATAATTTGTAACACCTCTACATTTTTAAAATTGGTATTACAGACAAATCCATATATACATAGAAAAGGATTGGGTTCACAAATGCAGGTTCTCTCTCCTCACTATTGTTCTTCATGACCCTCTCAAAAAAGTGTTTTTTTTTTAAATAAAAAACCATGAAATAAATACAATGGTATTAGAATTAAGTGTCCAATTTACCTTGGAAAATGAAATTTGGTATGCCTATTAAAATTTTGTCAAAATTTTATCAATGTGTGTACTAAGTCTTATGTCCTTAACTCTCTAATCAATCTTCTCTTGATCAACTACTCATTAATTATCACATAGAGCATTTTAACTAGGGCAATGGAGCAGGTCAAGCCAAGATCCAAACCTGTAACATACCCACAGAATTAGAGAAAGAAGGACAATATAGAAGTGTGTAACTTCAGTCCAATATGAGAGAAGAATACTGTTGAGTTGGGCCTAGTTGTTTTTATTCTTATTTTAAGTTATTTAGTTAGGAAGTTGTTGGGCTTTAGGCCCATTAGTTTATGCTTTTAAGTTGTGTCTGTTCAGCTACATTAGTAGCCGCCCTACTAAGGGCATCCTTGTAATATCTCATCCTTTAAGTTAAGTATAAATTATAATGAGGGGTTGGTGGCTAGGGTTTATTTAAGAATCCTGGTTGACTTCCTACTCTTTTCACCACCTCTTTTCTTCTCTACTGCTGAAATCTTCATCTTCCTCCTCTTTCCCTTCACAAGAAATTCRACTAAATCTGCAATCAGTGATTTCTACTTGGTATCAGAGCAGGCCGAAGGTTCCTTGAGTTGTTTTCTCATGCAGTCCTAGATCGGCCGACTGCAAGGTGATTTAAGAGGCTGATCAAAGATCTCAGGTAAGCCCAGTTTTTGGATTTTTTTGGTGGATTTGTTTGCCCTGTAGCTGGTCTAGGGTTTCTCATCAAAATCAGGAAAAACTGGAGAAAGGGGAAGAATCTTGTTTCTATTGGACTCTTCAATTTTGACCTAGGAAGTGGCACCCTAATTTTTTAGGGTTCCTTGGAGTTTTCTGTAAGGGGTGGTTCAAGTCTTGCCTGATTTGGAGGCTTCTAGAGAGAGCGGCTGCCTCTTCTCTCTCTTCTCCCGTCCTGCAGAAAATGAATCATTTGTGGGAAGACAGTTTAGGACACCAGAAAGGTGTTGTTAGTTCCAGAAGTGTTTCGTTTGATCTTCTTGCATATTTTAGTTATTTTCTTTACACTTTTTGAGAAGCATGGAGGGTCACGGAGTTGAAAATAAGCCCAATAGTGAAATGGGACCAGTGAGAGGAGATGTTGGAGACCTTTTCGGGGTTGGGACCATTACAACAGTTAGG